GGGGGGGGGGGGGGGGGAATGAATGTAGCCAGCCTGGCTGTGGCCTGGTTGTGGTTGATGTTCTGGGACAGTGCGTGGCAGGTGCTGGGAGAGAGGGGTGGCTCTCTGGTTAAGATAGCTGGAAAGGAAAGAAACAGCTTTGGGCAATAGGACTAAGAGGGGACCTTGGAGAGAGTCTGTTCCCCATACTTGGGAGCCCAGGAAGGCTGTGCAACCCTGAAAAGCCCTCTGCTTAATCTCTCTGCCCACAGGAACTGTGCCCTCGGCTTCTCATCCTTGTGACAAAGCCAACATGTCAAAAGGGTATCCTAGTTTCATTTCTGTCACTGTGATAAAACACCCTGTAAAAAGCAACTTAGGAGAGAAAGGGTTTCACAGTCACAGTCAAGATCAGAGAGGTGAACACATGCATGCTGCTGTCTGCTGCACTCAGCTCTCACACAGTTAGGATCCCTTGCCTAGGAATTGGTGCCACCCACAGTAGGCTGAGTCTTCCTATACCAACTAACAATCAAGGCAACACCCCACAGACACACCCATAAGCCAGCCTGATCTAGATAGTTTCTAATTGAGTCTCTTGCTGTGAGATTGTAGGTTGTGTCAAGTTGGCAAAGCTAACATCACAAAAGGACAGGGTTTATATTTTGGCTCACAGTGTCAGAGGTCCAGGGACACTAGACCGCATCATGTTGAGCCTGAGAGCCAATGCCATGTCAGAGAGCATGTGGCTTTAACAAAGCTGTTCCTCAGGGACAGTTTCTGTGGCCATAAAGCAGAGAGACAGGAAGAGACCAGAGGCAACGAGTACCTTTCATAGGCACTCCAGTAGTTATGTTTCTTGATGCCATGGCAAAAGCAGCTTAAGGAAGAGGATTTTTTGCTCACAGTCGGAGCCTGCAGCCCATCATGGTGGGGAAATCATGGTGGCAGAGACAGGAAGAGACAGGTCACATAGCACCCACAGCCAGGAAGCAGAGAGATGAATGCTGATGCTCACCTTGCAATCTCCTTTTTACTCGGTCCAGGACCCCAGCATCTGGAATGGGGCAGACTACATTGAGGGCAGGTCTTCTCACCTCAGTTAACCCAGCCTAGAGACTCCCTCATAGATAAACCTAGAGAGGATACATCTCCTGTTCTGAATCCTGTCAAGTTGACAGTCAGTATTAACCATCACACCCGCAACCCACTTTCTCCCACCAAGCCCCACCTTCTAAGGCACATTCAACTCTGAACTGGTCAGTGGTCCATCATGTGATGAAACCAGCACCCTCATGTTCCAGTTACATCCACAGCGCTACTGGCTATAGACCACACCATCAACACATGAGCTATTTCAAGGGCTACCTTATCCCAGACTATAACAGGAACCCCATCCCATTGTCTGAGAAACAACTATGTTGAGTCTTTGATTATCCGAAGACCAGAGAACCAGATTATGGCAAAGGTCATTGTTCCCACATGGGGATGGCAGAGACAGCAGGCACTTTCTCCACAGCCACACTACAGGGAGGCAGAATTCAAGCCTTGGTGTGATGCCAGGGCACCCCTATTCCTTTATCAGGCTCCACAGTCCAGCCAGCCTCCCTGTCTGGCTCAGCCTACATTATGGGATAGAGGGCTTTGAGTCCAGTACTTGAAGCCCCTGGTGTCTGATAGTCTTGGGGTCCCAGGAGGAGCTGGGCACTTTGGTGAGGCAGTGTCCAGAGGACTTGGCATATACAGACTCTCCTTTGCAATTCCTGCTGTGTACCAGCATGTGCCAAGTACCCATGTGTGCCAGGCCCTGTGCTGGCTTTGGTGAGCACTTACTGTATACCAGGTCCAATACTGACTTCAGGATGTGAACATTTTGTAGGCACCTACTTTTTGTATACTAGTACCTGTGCTGGCTTCAGCATTTGAGTGGTGGTGCAAGCCTTGAGACAAAGGCAGGAAGATCTCTGTAAGTTCGAGGCCAACCTATTACGTAGTAAGTTTCAGGATAGCCAGGACTACCCAGAGAAACCCTGCCTCAGAAACCAAACCAAACAAAATACCAGAAAAATAAAAATTAAAAAAAAAGGAAGGAAAAAGAAAGGAAGGAAGGAAGGGGGTGGAGAGAGAAGCACTTACTGTGGCCTGGCACTGTGCTGGCTGACTGTGGATTTTGTGAGCACCTTCCAGGTGATTCTCCGCTAGGTTACACCCTGGTTGGTTTGCTTCTACTTACTGAGTGGTCACCCCAGCAGCCCTGAGGAGGAGCCATAAATACTCAGCCCTACTTGGGTTGCACTGGACATGTGGCAGCTGAGGTACAGAGCAGATGGATGGCTTTCTTAGCCTACTCAAGTCACTCACTGCTCTAGGTTCCTTTTCCAAGTGCTGGACTCTGGGCAAATGGTTGTCAACCCACTTCTTGGAGTCCTGTCTCACTCCAAGAGATCCTCTGTTCCCTGTCATCTTCCTGCGTCATCTTCCTGCATGTATCAGATAAGGCAGGTCAAGGAAAGAATGAGAGAGCCTGAAAACAGTAGGTGTGGGCAGGAGGCCCAAGGCAGCCAAGGTCCAGGGGGCTTCCTGGAAAAGGCAGTAGCCAAGCCCTAGGATGGCGCCATGAATGTTTGGCACCTGAGGAAGTGGCCTCCTACACCCTCCTGACCCGCCTGACTTAGCACATTCCCTGAGGTGCCTGTGCCTCCTACCAACGCAGCCCAGGGGAGCCAGGTCCTTGGAGAAGGGCAGCTTTGTGAAGCCTGTGGAGCCTCATGACTGTGATTCAGGGCCTCCCGGGGAAAGGAAAAGGATGCCCTGACAAGTACTATCCCCACCTCTAGGTCCAGGGAAAGCAGCAAGCTCCAGGCATCTGTGAACACCTCGTGGGTATTACGTATTGCAGCCTCCCTGCCCTCAGGGCCCCTTTCTTAACCATTGTAGTAAAGAACAGCTATGTCCAAGCCAGAGCTCCAGGGAGTCTCCCTCGACCTGGAGATGGAAAAGATACAAACCTTACCCTTCAGGGACTTAGAACTGAGGACTGAGATATAAAACCAGATGTTGACAGGCTAACGTGACAGGCTAGGGAAGCTCTGGGGAAGGAAGCATGACTCCATCCCAGCAGACAGAGCTGTGTGGAACTGTGTAGCAGCCTCTGGACATGGCCTCCAAGTGTGGTGGTCTCAGGAGCTTATCCACCCCTTTCAGACACACCGATGCCCTGTGGGTCAGTTATCCCAGCCTCTCTCCACCTTAGGAAATTCATCCCCTTGAGACTGCTCGTGAAGCCAGTCATGTTCCCAGCCTGTACGTATCTGCTGGAGGGGACACATGGAGGCAGGTGGTAGCCTCCAGAGAGCAGTCCAAGCCTGTGCACCTTTCCCCTCTCTGCAGCCTCTAGTGAGGCCTCAGTCATCTCCTAAACTGGAGTCGGGAGCCAGCTGGGACAGGATTGCTCACTGCAGGGGAACAGCCTGGCACCTCAGAAGGTTCCCAGATCAATACCAAAGAGGCCACAGTGGGCTGCTGAGGCTGGGGTCTGTCCCTTCTCATCCAGGAGCCAAACTCGGTGTAACTGACCAGTCTGTGCACCCAGCACACTCTCTTCTCATCCTGCCTGCCCATGCCACAGCCCCTGCTATACAACATTGGCCCTACTTCCATCATTTCTCTGTGGACATGGCCATCCCTGGAACCTTCCCTGCATGCTGGTGGGCTGGAGCTGTACCCGCCTGCCTCTCTCCTGTTGATTCTTAGCACCCTGGGGCCAAATAAAGGAGAGACTGACTGCCCAGTGAAAGCCATCATGGAGCCTCAGTCTGGCCCTTCACTGAAGCTTCCTGCTCCACCTCTGGCTGGGGCCCAGGCAGGGTACACACATTTACTGGCTGTCATACCACCAGCAAACACAGAGTACCTTGTCATTGATCCCTTAAGACTTATCCTGTCCCTTACATAGAGGGTGCCTCTGGGTCTGTCTGGAAGAACTTTCTGGGGCTCCAGTACAGCCACAGAGCAAGGCTTTAACCTTCAATGAAGTCTGACTTTAGCCTCTGCTGACCCCACTCCCAGCACACAGCCCAGTCCACAGTCCCAGGCAAGAGCCCAGCCAGGGACCAGGCTACCCTTCTGGGTCCCTGACAGTACACGGCTCCAGCTGGGGCCTGGGTTCTGTGTTTTACAACATCTGCTTTCTGTGGTGTGTCCGCCCTGTGGGCTGGAGGACGACCTTCACTTGGTGGCACACTGCCCTGGCCAGCTCCCAGGGCCACCCCACAGCCAGCCAGGACTGAACAGCCTTTCTTCCTGTATGAAGGGACTTTGTGTTCAGGCAGGGCTCCGAGGGACCATGAGCATCCGCCTGCCCCGGGCATTCCTGCAGCCTCCTTGCCCCTGGAGCCAGGTGTGGGCCACCCAGGAGTATTTTGCTGTCCACTAGCAAGCAGCCCTAGGTGGCCACACACAGAGGCCAACCTGCTCCTGGGGCCAGGTCTCTGTGCCACCCGCTCCCCCACGCCTCCACCTAATCGCTCTGTATGAATCTGAGTCTTTCCATGAGGTAAAGTTCTGCAAGTACTGGAAAGTTGGGCAAAGGCCTTCACAGGCTTCCTTGTTCCCATAGAAACCTGGAGACAGGCAGGCTGGCCTGCAGTCAAGGACCCTTCCCTCCCTGCTCAGACCCAAATGCTGGGACTGTTAATTCCTAGACCCAGCGGCTGTTTGTCTCAGCTGTCTACTCTGGTGACAGGTTCTTAAGTCTGCAAGCCAGAGTCATCTTGGGGAACCTAACTACCCCATTTCCCAATGGCTACCCACCTGGCAGGTGGTGACACTCTACCTGAAGCCAGCTGAGTCCTCCAGCTTATCCAAACTCCAGTTCCCCACACGGCTGCTTCTTTCACTTGGTAGGGGTGGGTGTCACATGCCCAACATGTATCCCTCTGAAGCCAGCTCAGACACCAGACAACTCCAGGAAGTCCTCCCTGCCAATCCTCTGCCCTGTCTCCCACTGGTCAGCTGGGGTGTTGTGGCCTGGGCCCTTGAGAAGGAGCCAAAGACTAGCCTGGGTTGCTGACCCTGAAGGCCACCCTGTACCCATTGTCTTCCCCAAGGCTGTTCTGTATCCTGCTTCCCTGCTAGATGGTAGGGGGTATCCAGAGCCATTGGGGCCTTGACTATCCCCAGTACCTAAGATCGGGCCTGTCCCACTTAGGGGAAGAGGTAGGCAGATGAAAAGGTCTGTGCCAGCACCTGCTCAGGCATACATGCTCAAGGCAGGACAGCAATCAGCTGCCAGCATCCACCATCACCCGGGCTGAGTGAGCGTCTAAATGACTCAGTCTCATTTTGTCCCATCTGCTTTAGATTGTAGGTGTTGTCCTGTATCCACTCCACAGGGGCTCAGGGTGGCAAGAGAGCTACGCTATGCTGGGGCAGATGAGGCCTCTGCAGGGCCTCGGGGACCCCCCACTCTTGCTTAGCTCCTTGACCTCGATGGGTCTACTAGTGTGTTCAGGACATGCCCTGGTGGCTCCTCTTGCCCACAGGACAGAAGCTGCTAGATTCGCTGGCGGAGACCTGGGATTTCTTCTTTAGTGACGTGCTACCCACGCTGCAGGCAATCTTCTACCCTGTGCAGGTATATGGCTGGGTGCATGGGAGTGAAGGAAGTCCCACTTGTCCAAGGTACACTCTGAAGACCTGGAATGACTCCAGGAAGCACTCCAGGCTTGATGCCCTCCTCTACACTGACCTGTCCCTTACAGGTCAGCTTAGCCTGGCATGCCTGGGGACTCCTCAGGGCCCTAAGACCTGGAGTGGGGAAGCCAATGGTGGAGTCGGGCTCCAGATGGTAGAGAAAGCCCTATTAGGGGAGGCTACAAGGAATCTTAAATCTTTGTGGGAGGGAGAATGGGGGAAGGGCCAGTTGTCACTGGGGCCCTTCCCACATCCCACCCTTGACCTGGGATAGAGAGATAAAACTGCGAGATAGCAGTGGGGCCAACATGCCTCTTCCCGTGTCCACAGGGCAAGGAGCCGTCAGTGCGCCAGCTTGCCCTGCTGCACTTCCGGAACACCATCACCCTCAGTGTGAAATTGGAGGACGCGCTGGCCCGCTCTCACGCTCGCGTCCCCCCTGCCATCGCACAGATGCTGCTGGTACTGCAGGTGGGACAGGGTTTGGGGACCCAGGACTCTGAGATTGGGAGATGATCGAGACCGACTGGGCAGGGAGTGGACAAATAGGGCTTTGGGGCCAGGATATGAACCAGAGAAAAATTACTTATTCCTGGCCCCAACTGGCTTTGGTATGTTCGATCAGTTACCAGGGCTGGGGACAAACACCCCCCCCACTCCCTCCCCCACCAATTCCAGACACTTGGTACAGATGGACTTCATCAACAAGGCTAGCTCTGGAGAAGGGACCGTGGCCAGTTAGTATAGCTGGAGTAAAGGAACCTGCCCCAGGACAGGGGAGTTTTGAGTCACCAACATGTATCCTACATCTGACACATCCCCTTACAGTTTGCAAGCTCACCGTACTGAACTCACTTACAATCCTCACAGGACTTTAGAGGTACCAACAACTGCCCCATTTTACTGACAGGGAAACATTTTACTGTTTGTGAAAGTGTGGCCTCACTTGAATTCTCATAGGCACCAAAAGCCTCGTTGTAATGGGTCCCCTGTACATGTGGAAATCCTTTCAAAGTTAGGGTTTGTGGGGACAGGCCTAGGGTAGAAGAAAATGGTAAAGGTTTCAGAGCAAGGAACAGTCTGGATTTTGCAGGGTCCAGGGGCTGCCCTGGGTCGGGGGCTGTGGTCACCTTGGAATGAAGCCAAATGCTAGCCGTTGGGTGGGATTTCCATAGACTGGGTCAGGCTGACAGGGTTTGTGTGAAGGGAGAAATGGAAGTTCAGGTCTCTGTGGTGCTGGGGCCTGGGATTCCATTGGAGGAGACAATGAACACCAGAGTGCTTCTGCCCCCTGCTGGCTTCTGTGCCTCCTGCAGCTTCCTGGCTGTGGTTCTAAGTCTCAGCATAGCCTCCTTACCACAGAGGTTTCCATTGTCTCACCTACCACCTCTTCCCAGACTGAGTGGCCTTGCCCTAAGGTTGTTGTGAACTTGTCCCCTGACCTCACCTTGGTCTCAAGGTAAACCTGGCCCTCACTATTTCAAGTTTTGAGTGGCTCTGAGGTCACAGTTGCTGGTCAATGTGTATTGAGGGCCTACTGTGTGTCCCTGCCTTACTTCCAGGATCACAGCTCCTACTGGGGGTCCAAGTGGTAGGGTGCCAATCACACTAACAGCCATGTGTGAGTCTTACTTACACCGTGGGTAGGGGAGTGACCTCATACAGTTTACAGAAGTGTATGGTCAGGGTGTGGTGGTGCACACCTGCAATCCTACCTCTCAGGAATCAGGGGCAGGAGGTCTGTCTCATGGTCAAGGCAACCTTGGACACATAATGAGAGCTAATCTCAAAAAGACCATAGGGACGTGTCTAACCCTATGGGCAGCCTCTCCTGCCTGTGCCCTACCCTCTCCAACCCCCAGGCATGAGCAGTGTTTCAGAACCTCTGGTGATAAGCTTGGTTCTGTCTCTCATAGGCCCCCAGGACACCAGTGCCGGTGACTTTAGTGTGACTGTCCTCATGTGGTTATAGGGCCCCCAGCCATGGAGAAGACTGCAGTAGCATCTTCCTACCTGGGACCCCACCTGGGGAAGATAGGGCAGAGACAAGCTGCTGCTAGACCAGGGTGTGTGACCCCCCCCATTCTCTTTCAGGGGGTACATGAGTCCAGAGGTGTGACCGAAGACTACCTGCGCCTGGAGACACTGATCCAGAAGGTGGTGTCACCGTACCTAGGCACCTATGGCCTCTACTCCAGCGAAGGGTCCTGTACTCATTCCTGCATCCTCGGTGGGTGCTTCCTGGAGCAATCATGAGGGCAAAACCAGAATCCCACAGGGGACCAGCTACAGTCACACAGCCATTCTGCCCCATGCACCTGCCTGGCCCTGCCAAGTGCAGATCTGGACCCTTAGGGTAGAGGGAGAACTAAAGGGTAGCAGGCAACACCCAGAACAATGATAGCTTTCCACGGAGCCCTACCACACATCCACTAGATGTTATTTGTACAGGCTCAGAGAGGGATAAGGTAAAAGGAGGCCCTATAGAACCTGGTGGGTCCCTCAAAAGCTGGCCATGTCATTCCTTGTTCATTCAGCAGCATCTTTTGGGCACCTGCTGCATACCAGCCCAGAGAACAATCCACACCCTCCTTCATAGTTCTGGTCTATCGGGGAATATATGTGAGTCCCCATGGTGACCACTGGGATGCAGGAGAGGATGCCAACTAGATTATAGGAACAGACCAGATGGGGCCACTGGCTCTCCATCATCTGTGCTGCTGCCTAGGTTGTAAAACCCTAGTTTTTGGGTGTGCCTTAGCTCAGGCAAGTTAGAGCTGCAGGGCTTTGCACCTCCCGGGACCTGTCTGGCTGTAGACAGACAGATACTGGTGACCAGCTGGGCATTGGTGGTGCATGCCTTTAATCTCAGCACTCGGGAGGCAGAGGCAGGTAGATCTCTGTGAGTTCGAGACCAGCCTGGTCTACAAGAGCTAGTTCCAGGACAGCCTCCAAAGCCAAAGAGAAACCCTGTCTCAAAAAAACAAACAAACAAATAAACAAAAAACCCAGAAAACAGATACCTGGTGACCGGAGAAAGCAACCCTCCTGGTCCACAGAGGCTCCCTGACAAAGTTTGTTGTACTTAGGAGTGCCACCCCATGGTCACTATTGGGCATTGCAGGGTCCTGCTTGGAAGCCTTTCTCTTACATGGCCAAAGGAATTCTGCTCTGTCCTCACTCCCTACAGCCTGTGACTCTCTACACAGCCAGTAAGGCCTATAAACAGCTGCTTTATAGCACTGTCCACACCCTGCAGCTCCTCCCAGTCAAACCTAGGAAAGCACTGGTACCTAACATCCATGGCTTCCATGGGTGAGGAAAACGAGACATGGATATATGACTGACATGGGTCATTCATAGGTCACTGACAGCTTGCAGATTTGAACCTGAGCAGCTGAGGTCCCACTGCCTGTTCAGGCCAAGGCTGGGAATGTACTTTCTCCAGCTAGGGCAGGAGGCTTGTATGTAGGACCTAGTGAGGCTGATTCAGAACTAGCAGCCACTGAGCCTTTTACTGGGTGGCCCTTCTGTGGGTTAGACACTTGATGAGAAGCCTCTGCCCAGAGGTGGGACTTGGGACATAGAGCATGTGAGTCAGGAGCCACCGTCCTGGTATATATGACTGTGTCTGTTCCTGCAGAGAAACGGCTCCTGCGTCGCTCCCGCTCTGGGGATGTCCTAGCCAAGAACCCGGTGGTGCGCTCCAAAAGCTACAATACACCCCTGCTCAATCCTGTGGCTGAGCATGAAGCAGAAGGCACAGCAGCTGGTGGCACAAGCATCCGCAGGCACTCCGTCTCAGAGATGACATCTTGTCCTGAGCCCCAGGGCTTTGTGGACACACCTGGCCAGGGCCCTTCGGGGACCTTCAGGTCCTCCCCAACACCTCACTCAGGGCCTTGCCCTAGCAGACTGTACCCCCCTGCCCATTCCCCAGAGCAGGGCCCAGCCCACAGCTCCCCACCCACCTCCAGCCCTGAGACACTGGTGGACCAGATCCTGGAGTCCGTGGACTCAGACTCCGAAGGAATATTCATTGACTTTGGTCGGGGTAGTCGGTCCAGTGTGTCTGACTTTGATGCAACTGGAAGCCGGCCGAGTGTTGTGTGATAGCCTGAGGTTAGTTCATGTTTTTACTGGCCCCTATATGTTTGCGTGTCTGTGGATGTGTGCGTGAGAGACGTGTTCCTAACCTCACCAGCCCCCTTGCCGCTGCCTTGGTCACTGTATACTCCCAGTCTGTTGGAAAACCTATCCACTTCCCTGCTCACCCCAGGTCTGATTGGGTGTCCAGTTGGTACCTCAAGGATGGGGTCACCACGTGCCCTCCTGCCTGCCCCACCCTTGGTGCCACACCTACCCAGGAAAATGTGAAACCAGTGGGTTCTGCCCATGCCAGCCCAGTGTGGCCCCCACAGAGATGGGACCCAAGCCACGGCCAGACCTGCCTCCCTCTTCCCTGGGTGGCCACCAAACAGGAAGGCTTGAAATAAAGTTACAGCTCCAGGCTCCTGTCTTTCCCTGGTGTCCTTCTGGGACCCCCACCTCACAGGACCTCTCCCTCCTGCCAGGGGCACATTCCCATGGACACGTGCTCATTGCCCACTCTTGCACTTGTTTTCAGGTCCAATGTTGCTATGTCATCTTGATGGAGGGCCCAGAAAGCATTCAAGGAGGCCTGAGACCTTAATGGTTGGTGCTTAGGTATAAGACAGGCCCTACTGTGGGTCCCTGGACCCAGACCCACTGCATCTAGGGAGGGGAGGGGATCACTGGGGACCTACAGATCTTGCCCTTTTTTTGGTGGGGGTTGCTAAAAACCCTGGTCTGGTGGGAGGGGCAGCCCAGCATTCCCAGCTGCTCTAGGAGTTGTTCTCTACCTCTAGAGAGGTTTACCCAGCTTCTGAGGGTGGTTAGGACCCTCAGCAAATGGGCTGGTTCTACTGCCTGGTAAATGGGCATAAGTGTTCTTGAGTGCTGGTAGGATTGTTGTGGGCTTGCCCAGCAGTTTAGCCCGTCAAACCATGCCTGGAGTAGGCCTCTGTCCTGTTGAGCTCCTCTTTAAAGAGCCAGGGGAGTGTGGTCCTCCTTGGTCACATGCTGAACTCTGCTCCAGGCCCTTCAAAGCACTCAGGTCTTATCTTCTGGGATGACAAGCAAATAACAGACCCAGGGGGCAGGGTGAGCAGATCTGGCCAGAAAATAGAATAGGAAGCGGCTTCTTCATGCTTGAACTGCAAGGCCTTGTGGGTCCAGGGCATCTGCTGGAATATTAGGACAGAAGGCCTCCTACCCTCAGGGTGGGAGAAACAGGCTGTTCTAATCAGGGGTGGCCTGCTTGAGCTTCAGTGTTGCCTGTGGTAAGGGCACATGCTGAACTCATAGGGTGTCTTAGTAGGATCATTATTGCTGCAATGAAACACAGCCCAAAAGCAATCTAGGGAGGAAAGGGTTTATTTGGCTTACATAGCCAGACTGTCACAGTTCATTGAAGGAAGCCAAGGCATGAACCTGGAGGCAGGAGCTGATGCAGAGGCCATAGAGGATTGCTACTTGCTCTTCGTGGCTTGGTTGGCCTGTTTTCTTTTTGTTGTTATTTTGAGACAGGGTCTCTCTACATAGTTCCAGGATAAACCAGGCTGGCCTCCTACGTGGTAGGATTAAAGGCCTTCACCACCACACCCAGCTCAGCTTGTTTTCTTATAGAACCCAAGACCACCAGCCAAGGGGTGGCCCCTCCCACAATGGACTGTGCCCTCCCCCATGAGTCACCAATTAAGAAAACAGTGTTGCCTGCAACCCTATCTTATGAAAGCATTTTCTCAGTTGAGGTTCCCTCCTCAGATGACTAGCCTGTGTCAAGCTGACATAAAACTAGCCCGTATACAGGACTTTTGAAAAATGCTCCCCAGGAACCCCAGGGAATCAAGAGCCACCCCAGCCTCACGACATGCAGGGCATCAGGCAGGAACCTGAATCTGGAAAGAATGATCAAGTCCCTGGCTAAAAGCTAACTGGGTTGCTGTGGTCTCTAGGGAAGTGAGATAGGGCCTGGGACCTGGCTAAGTTGTGCCACCCTGCCTCCCTCAACATTAGCAAAGTTTCACTTTTGTGGAGCCCCTTTGAGAGATGGAAGTAGAATTATGGGCAGAGGCTTCCACTGTGTGGGGGGAGGGTTGGGGTGGGGTGTACTGTAAGCCAAGCAGGCAATGATAACCAGGTGTATTAGGATTCTCTAGAGGAACAGAACTGATAGACTATATACAAGAAATAGGCTTTAAGTCAGGCAGTGGTGGCGCACGCCTTTACTCCCAGAACTCGGGAGGCAGAGGCAGGTGGATCTCTGTGAGTTTGAGGCCAGCCTGGTCTACAAAAACTTGAGTTCCAGGACAGGCACCAAGCTACACAGATAAACTCTCTCTCAAAACAAAACAAACAAACAAAAAAGAAGAAGTAGGCTTTAATGTTAGTGAATGAATGAACTGGCCAGCAAGAGCGAGAGCAATCAGGCAAAGAGATCTAACTTCCTTCTTTCACATCCTTTATATAGGCTACTACCAGATGGGGTATCTCCCCACCTCAAAGATCCAGATTTAAAAGTGGGACTTCCCACTTAAAATGATTTAGTTAAGAACAAAATCCCTCACAGGTGTGCCCAACCGCTTGGGTTTCAGTTAATACCAGATGTAGTCAAGCTGACAACCGAGAATTGCTATCACACCAGGTGTACAGAGACTGGCACACCAGGATGTGCCACATACAAACTTATTGCTAGGATGCCCCACCCACTCCTTGGAAGAGCCCTGAGCCAGAGGGCCCAAGTTCCTGGCTGAAACTTCATGGTTTGTCATTCCCACTCTAGGCAGTTAGTTGCTCTTCCACTGAGCTCCCAGATCTGTCCCAGTGCCTGCTCTGTGTCCTACTACTAATTAGTTACCACTGGATCAGCATGGGGCCCCAGGGCCAGTGAGGGGCTCTCAGTGTTCTAGGCTGGTTCCATTGGTTCCCTGGATCCACTTCCCTCTGCAGACCTGTTTCTGCCACACATGGGTTGGGAGCCAGATGTTTGTCACAAATGACAGGTCCTACTAACTGATCAGAGGTTTCAGCCCACAGGGAAAGTATGAAGAAGGGGTGGGACACCAGGCTCTGCCTATCGGCCATCACTTAATTCACTCTCCTGGGGGAGAGGAGGGGATGTAGGGAACACACAGTAAACAGGTCTTGGGAATTTTTATTTTTTTTAATGTTGAGTGGGTTGTGATGGCATTTGTCTTTAATCCCAGTACTTGGGAAGTCAAGGCAGATGGATCTCTGTGAGTTCAAGGCCAGCCTGGTCTACACAGCCAGCTAGAGTTACATGATGAAATAATGTCCCAAAACAATAATAAAATGACATTGAAAACATTTATTCAACTGGAGTGACTCCTGGTAACTGACACTATTCGGTGAGGTTTCCACTCCATCTCTGGGGCTCTTGCTTTGTTCTGTGCTGACTCCCAAAGGCTTCTGGGACAATAGACAGCACTGCACCCTTCTATGGAGAGGATGTTATCTTGGCCTTTAAAAACTTGGCATGTTAGAGTATGTCCATCTTTTTTTTTTTAACTTTTTATTGATTCTTTGTGAATTTCACATCATGCACCCCAATCCCACTCATCTCCCGCCCCTCCATAGCTCCACTTCATCCTTGCAACCTCTTCAAAAGAAAATAAAAATAAAAATAATAAAAAGTAAAAATAAAATTTTAAAAAAGTCTCTCAGCCCTTTTGCCCAAACAGTTTTGCTTGCAAATGTTCGTTGCAATGAGTTGGTGTGGTTGCTCTGGCTTCTATCAATACTGGATCCTCACCAGGACTCCCCTTAGATACTGTGTTGTTGCCCTGTGTCATGGAGGTCCCACAGCTTTGGTTCTGTAGGACAGGCCCCTTCACTTGCTCCAGCCAGTTCTTAGATGGGGTGGATGAGGTGTCAGTGAGCCCTAGAAACACAATTAGGGTAAGTTTCACCCTTAGCAAGCCAAACCATTGGGCTCTGTTCCCATCACTAGAGTTTGCTAATACAAAGATACCCCTGCTGAAGGCTGAGGCTGTGGATGTGGGTCAATGGGGAGAGTGCTTGCTTAATATGCACAGGCTCTGTGTTCCTTCACATGGTGACTCACACCCAAAGTCATCTACATAGTGCATCTGAGGCCAGCCTGGTCTACATAGTGAGCCTGAGGCCAGCCTGGTCTACATAGTGAGCCTGAGGACACCCAGATCTACACAGTCAACCTGGACTACATGGTGAGCCTGAGGTCAACCTGGACTACATGGTGAGCCTGAGGCCAGCCTGGTCTACATGGTGAGTCTGAGGCCAGCCTGGTCTACATGGTGAGCCTGAGGCCAGCCTGGACTACACGTACCCTGTCTTGTTGTTTGGAGTTTGGAGACAGGGTCTCACTATGTAGCCCTGGCTGGTCTAGAGCTCATTATGTAGACCAGGCTAACTTTCAACTCACAGAGATCCCTTGCCTCTGCCTTTCGAGTGCTGGAATTAAAGGTGTGTGCCACCATCCCCCACTGAACCTGTCTTAAGAAAAAAAAAAAAAAAAAGAAAAAAGAACATCCCTTTTTCATCAAGTTATCAGACACCAGGGCTTTATCTCCAGTTTGGAGGCAAAGGCAAGTCAGGTCATGAGCCTCAGCATGGCTGATAGAAAATCAAGGGGCTTTGTGGTCTCATGTGAGGGCCTAGTTAGTGTTAGTGAGAATCGTGCTTCCCGCCCTGATTCTCCTCACACCCACAGGACCCAGTAGGTGAGAGGGCCTGGTTACCTGGATTCCTGTTTCCCCTATCCCCACCCTGTCCCAAGTCCAGTCACCATACTTCTGTGGCTCCTGTGCTCAGTCCTCAGCAGCCAGGCCCAGACTGCACAGATGGATTAGGACATAGTGCTCCTTTGTCCCCAATTCTGCAATGCTCCTCCTGTGCCCTGGGGATAAAGCCACTCTGGAGGCTTGGTGGCAGAGGTCATGCCATTCACAGAGGGGTGCTGGCCTTCCCACCAGCCTTCTCATGAACATGTTCACAAGGTACAGGATTGAACCTCCTTGGTGCCCTTTTCAGCAGTCTGTCTACCTGACTAAAGCCTCAGCTCTTGGAGCTTCCAGATTCTTCTGCACCTGTGCCACAGCACAGGGAGGGGGGGTTGGGGGAAGGGTGGGGATGGGCCCCTCCCTTTCCCTCTGTTACTCTTAAAACCTTTGAAACTTCTTCCAGGGACCTGGCAGCATACCTGTTTCCTGAAGCTCCAGGGCTCTTCCCACCCACTGTGCTGGAAACCTCACTGTCTTGTCTGCACAATGACACTGGGACTTTGGCTGAAGTCTCAGCACCCCTCTCACACACATGTCTCACTTACATGTTCACATACACACATACAAATATATAATCCTACACCCACACATACATGCTTGTATACTTACCACTCACAGCACATGTCCACACTTGCCTGGACACACAA